TGTTTATGTAACTAAAGTTTATTTTGGCTGAAGTAGAAGAAAACACATTCCCAAATTTAGTTTCGAGTGTTTTTTGACAGAATATTTTAATACTTGTTTCCATCTTAATGATTTTTTTAACACGATTCTTGAAAATTTAGATGTTAAACTTGACATTTAAACCACTTAAATCTTATCAAATTCTTATTAAATTTCATAAAAGCAAGAAGAATTTCAAGCAATTTATCACGTTTAACTAAGAAAAATCTTAGGAAACAATACATAAATTAGATTTAAATCTATCAAGATNTGAAAATACAAAATTCTAATATTAAATTGTATTATTTATTTTAAAAAATGATCAACGATTTAATTTTTTTAAAGCAACAGATTACTTTTTAAACAATAAAAAAAATTAGAAACACGTCAAGCATTACAATTTAATTTTAAAATTAACTATTACCTCATATTTTACTGTTATTTTCTGTTTATAAATAAGAGAAATAAACAAATTAGTAAAAGAAACTATTGCAGACACATTTAGAAATTTATTACTAGAGATATGACATAACCAAACGAGTTAAAATTGCCTTAGGAATATCAAGTTCAATTCTAAAAAGAAAAAAAAAAGATCCTTTAAAGAATATAACACATAGTGACAATATTTCAAGCAACTAATTGATTACAACATTTACGTAGGTGTAACAGCATTACTTACTATTCAATAGATGTTAACTGGGATTAAAGTATTACAAATTTGGATAATTTATTAACAAAAATTTGTACATACTCTATGAGAAATTTGTAAGTGATACAGTTATTTTTTCTCTCAATTTTTTTCCTCTATTTTTTACGTGAAATCATATTATATATTATTATAATTTTTATAGAAAAATAATGAATAATTTTAAGAGAATTAAAAATAAATTCTTTTTTTTTATTAAAATAATTATTATAGATCGGGTCATGACCTAGTTTCTTCTTCAGAGTTCTAGACGTTTAGTAGACTGCATGGCGCTTTATAGAATTGCATGTAACTAGAGATTAATTTTTTACAAAGAGATCCGTCATGTGTAGTGGGTGTTTTCTTCTTTAATTTGTTCACTCGAACTGGAATTGAGCCAAGTATATACACTTTCTTTTAAGAGGGCTTCCTGTGCATCAAATTGGAAGGCGTCCAAAAACCTTGAAAATTTCAACGTACAGACTCACACGACGTACTTTTCTACCTGTCAAAACATAAAATGATTCTATTCTACGCTTCTACTAAAGCTTTTTGCATGCTTTTTCTCCACAAAATATTACCTTTAAAGGTGCTTATGTAACTATTTTTATGATAAAAGTGTACAAAATTACATCATTATCTTTAAGAGAACATTTAGAATATTAAATTAGTAAGTGACTAATCAATAAAGTAGGACAAAGGACAGGGATATGACATGCACCTGGAGTACCTCACGTGTTTAGAAATTTGAATTATACGTCTGTCATCGTATTTTAAAGTACGTTGAGTCTCGTGTGAAGGTCGAACAGATGAGTCAATTGATGAATACTGTGTAAGTTGATTTTGAAAATGAAGTGAGGTTAAAGTTCACACAACATTGTCGAAACTTTGTTCATCGACAAAAATCGCAAAATAATAAAAGGTTTTTATAAATGAATTAATTTATATTCTTGGCACTTATATTAAATATAATTTGCATTAAAAAGAAAACACACCCATGTTTTGGAAAGGTATCTCAAGGCAGGAAGTTAACAAGTTTTTCTTCTTAAAGTCATCAACAATAATGGTTAACTCCTATATCCTGACCTTCTTCCTCTACTCCTTACACTGAAAAATACCAACCTAGTTCCTTTCTCGAGATGCTTATCATCAAAAATAACGAGATACATTTAATTAATTCCTGTAAGCAATGTTACAATACAAACAATTCTCTAAAACTTTCATTTTTCTCGAAAGAAAATGCTTAATTTCTTCTTTAAAAAATTCTTTATAAACTAGTCACGTGTTATTTCTTAATATTAAAAATACAGCAAAAAACCTTAACCCCTGTAAAAGTATCTTCTCTGCAATATACCAAAAAATTAAAAATTCAAATTAATTTTTATTTTTACTTTAATTTTTTTTAATTAAAGTGTAATTATGAAAGATGCAATAAATTAATTCGTAAGTACCTTGTTAGAGCTTTCATTTAGCTAAACATTTTAATTATTGCGAAAGACAAGAAGTCGTCTCGACTTATTTAACCAATTATATCGTGTGTGACGAAAGACAGTTTCGTCCTTCGGTATAAGTCCTTTTCTTTCTACGTTATCAAAATGACTTGCAAACTATATACTAGTATATGCATTAACATTTAAAAGCTTCATAATTAATAACAGATTCGTGTGAATATATAAATAATTTAACACGTTCACAGAACATTAACAAAACACCATTTTTTTCAAGAAAATCTTGATTTTTTTCACTCGACAAAGAGAATAAATCTATCAGAATATATATAAAAAGTAAAGGATACTATACAAGATATCAAGGATATACACAAAAAAAAAATGGCACAAAAACAGGAGAAAAGTGAGAGTATTATAAGAATAGGAAACAAACCCCCCTTAGGCAAATTTTAAACATTTGAAAAGAAAATTAGATCCGATTCTTCTAGACGATAACCATGCTTTTATCTTAAACAATGGGTCTTTAAAATATCTTAAAATTATTCTTCTGAGAAGACTCGTTTGTCAAGTTTAAAGATAGAAGACAATTTTTTAAGTGGCTGACTATAACAGTCGACTCTATTGTCATATCATCAAATGTATAACGCTATATAATACTGTTTTCGGATCATTTTCGAGTGGGTTATTGTACATTATTGTATTTTAAAAGCACTCGATCATAATAAGTGCTTTATTTACAATAACTAGATCACAAATTATAAGTGATTTCGTATGTTTGACGAATAGTAATATAGCTTATTTTTTTTTAATTTTTTAGTTAAGTAAAGGAGTTTGTTTACTTAAAATATGCGAATATATTCTAGAAAATCGAGTGTGAAATTAAATATTTTATTTGAAGAATAAATTATGTATTTCTTTCAATACTTGGCGTATTTAAACGACTTTTTTTAATTGTTAAAAATTAATTGTTTACTTGACAAATAATTTGTTTATTTCTTTCAATAGTTGGAGCATTTTTTTAATTATTTTTTCAGCGTTAAAAAATAATCTTTTACTTAAGAATTAAACTGTACATTTTCTTTCAATACTTGGCGCATTTATTATTGTTGTTTTCATTGTTAAAAATTAATCGTTTACTTGAAAATAAAATAGTCCATTTCTTTCAATACTTGGCGCATTTATTATTGTTGTTTTCATTGTTAAAAATTAATCGTTTACTTGAGAATTTCTCTCAATAATTGACACATTTTTTTATTGTTAAAAAATATTTCATTTTTCAAGTAAAGGATTATTTTTTAAACAATAAAAATAAATAAAAAGAAATTTACAATTTATTTATTAAATAAATACTTGGCGCATTTTACAATATTTTTATTTTTCAAAAAAAAAATAATAATAATAAAATATTTCAGAAAATATCCTTCAAAGAACTTTATATTAATTAATTTTAATTCTAAAAACAAAAAAAAACATATATTTAATTGGGCAAATTTTATCAGACGAGTTCATTATGTCTAGATCTTTTTTGGAATCGTTAAATGAGACTGCTTAGTGTCAATTTTTTATTTTTTATTTTCTTTACTTTAATATTTAATCTAAAATACGAATAAATTCTTGAAAATAAAAGTTATTAAAATTATAATATTAAAATGAAATATTTTTTTAAATAAAATTTTTATAATAAAAATCTTTATAAATGTAAGAAAAATCGAAATTTTAATATATTATTTTCATTTTCAATATAATTTTCGGAGAATTTTGTTTGAGAGTTTTAACTTACAAATTCTGAGTAGAATTTCATTATTATTATTATTTTTTTTTCTAAAGTAAAAAAATATATAGAATTTCTTTTTTTAATATAATGTAATTTTATGAAAAGTATTACAGATTTTACACTTAAATTTCTTGTTAGTTTGTAGAATTTTTTTAAGGGGGAAAAAATGAAGTAATCTAAAATTCAATTTGTTAGATATAAATTCTTTTTATATAAATTTAAAATTGAATATTTTTTAGAAAATAAATTTATTTTAATTTAAACAATTTCATAATAAAAATTTCAGATATTTAAATTATTTTCTTATTAGCTTGTTTTTTTTCCTCTTATTTTTACACAGGTTTTATAATACAGCTTCTCAACCTTTTATATTTAATCATCATCTTTTTATTGTTAATAGCGCTCGCGATCTACTTATTGAGAGACTTATCTATATAACTCTCTATCGATTATTTTAAAATACTTTAATTTTAATTAAGAATTTGTTTATAAAGTAAATTAATTAATGCTTAATTTTATTTAATTAAAATAAGTTTATCAGAATTATTTCTAGAGTTATAAGCATTTTATTTCCAGCGACTTTCGTGTTATCATTTTAAACTGTTCGTTTGTCTGTTCGCATATTCGATAATAATTTTAAGTTTATATTATTATTAAAATTAAATATTTTAATTATAATATAACTAAGTATTTAATTATTCTTAGCAATGAGTAATAAATAAAAATGCAAAGAATATTAATAATTTTCCGACTTTATTCTCTATTTTTTTTTTCTCATCATATACAAGAGAACGTCTATAAATAATTTAACACGTTCACAGAACATTAACAAAACACCATTTTTTTCAAGAAAATCTTGATTTTTTTCACTCGACAAAGAGAATAAATCTATCAGAATATATATAAAAAGTAAAGGATACTATACAAGATATCAAGGATATACACAAAAAAATAATAAGCTTTTTACAAACAGCAGTTGATAAATTTATATGAAAATTCTGTTTAAAATACAGAAAATTAACATCATCTTAGTTTAGATAAATGATGATAACATTAATAATATATTTACAATATATTTTTTTTTCCTATCATCTCTTTAGTCGTAATGGTTTTAGATAGTGAAATTTATTGTTAAATAAATCTTATTATTTATACATAATTTTGTTTTTTGATTTTTTTCCTCTCTAATCTTTTTGGATCAAGTTTTTTTCTATTTATGATTCAATGTTATCAAACATATGAATGGCATATGCTGTATGGTGTGAGAATTAACTCTGCCAAGAAAAATATGATTCTTTCTTGCGACAGTTGCTTGCACTTCCACACCAATGTACTTCAAACAATGCCGGACAAGGTTTTCCACCCCTTGATGCGTGTTTTAATACCTTTCTTTCTCTTTTTTTCTCACCAAATCCGCAAGTTTTACTACAATCACTCCATTCTGACCATTCACTTACCCTACAATTTCTTGGCCTTCCTGTAAAAAATAAAAAAAAATTAAGAAAATAAGATTTTTAGATTCAAATCTTATTTCTTTTATTCTTACTTCGACGTCCTTTTTTATTATTTTTGACTTTAAGTGAGTTAATTATAGTATTCTCCTTTGATGTTTTGGCTACTTTGACTCCATCATTTACGTAAATGTCGTAAGCTGGGGGTGGTTTATCAGCTACGACTGTTTCTATATTTTTATTAGGATCGTGTTGAAAGACTTCTCTTAAACTATATTCTTTATTTTTGACAAACTGCACGTAAGCAATTCTTGGAAGTTTACGTAGTGATGGATAGAAGAATGAATTGGCTTGATGATTAGGAAACTGTGAAGTGATCTGTGATATTTTCATTGCTGGATTTGTCGACCATTTAGGAGCTGTGAAAGTGAAACCATTTTCTGTTCCAGCATCAATGGGATCAAGATCTAATGTTACTGCATCTAACCATTTATTATCTGTACAGAGATTAAAACTATCGACACCGACAAACCAATCAGGACTTGGTACAATTCTACTAATTATCGATACCTGTAAAAGAAAATTGGGATTATTCTATGTTCTCTACACTCATCATGTCTCATATACTTACTTTAGTGTGATTTCCGTCAAGAAAAATCGTTGCTTCCGTCTTTCCTACCCCCACTTTTATAGGTTTTGCATAGAAATTATCAAAAACTCCACTTTTATTTTCAGCTTCTATGTATTCAGATCTACCTGTTTCTGCAAAAAGTTTAATTCCTGTTGTTGCATATTCTCCCATACTCCACAATTTACGTGAACCATTATGTGTTTCTCCTATTAAATAAAACATTTAATTAGTTTTTTCTAAACAAATATCTTGTAAAAAAAAGTAAATATTTAATGTAAAACTCTTCAAAATTACAAAATTCAAATTTACTTTAGAGGAGGAGTAAGATATAAGACATTTATCTTAATACAAGGAAAGTTATATGAAAATACAAAATTCTAATATTAAATTGTATTATTTATTTTAAAAAATGATCAACGATTTAATTTTTTTAAAGCAACAGATTACTTTTTAAACAATAAAAAAAATTAGAAACACGTCAAGCATTACAATTTAATTTTAAAATTAACTATTACCTCATATTTTACTGTTATTTTCTGTTTATAAATAAGAGAAATAAACAAATTAGTAAAAGAAACTATTGCAGACACATTTAGAAATTTATTACTAGAGATATGACATAACCAAACGAGTTAAAATTGCCTTAGGAATATCAAGTTCAATTCTAAAAAGAAAAAAAAAAGATCCTTTAAAGAATATAACACATAGTGACAATATTTCAAGCAACTAATTGATTACAACATTTACGTAGGTGTAACAGCATTACTTACTATTCAATAGATGTTAACTGGGATTAAAGTATTACAAATTTGGATAATTTATTAACAAAAATTTGTACATACTCTATGAGAAATTTGTAAGTGATACAGTTATTTTTTCTCTCAATTTTTTTCCTCTATTTTTTACGTGAAATCATATTATATATTATTATAATTTTTATAGAAAAATAATGAATAATTTTAAGAGAATTAAAAATAAATTCTTTTTTTTTATTAAAATAATTATTATAGATCGGGTCATGACCTAGTTTCTTCTTCAGAGTTCTAGACGTTTAGTAGACTGCATGGCGCTTTATAGAATTGCATGTAACTAGAGATTAATTTTTTACAAAGAGATCCGTCATGTGTAGTGGGTGTTTTCTTCTTTAATTTGTTCACTCGAACTGGAATTGAGCCAAGTATATACACTTTCTTTTAAGAGGGCTTCCTGTGCATCAAATTGGAAGGCGTCCAAAAACCTTGAAAATTTCAACGTACAGACTCACACGACGTACTTTTCTACCTGTCAAAACATAAAATGATTCTATTCTACGCTTCTACTAAAGCTTTTTGCATGCTTTTTCTCCACAAAATATTACCTTTAAAGGTGCTTATGTAACTATTTTTATGATAAAAGTGTACAAAATTACATCATTATCTTTAAGAGAACATTTAGAATATTAAATTAGTAAGTGACTAATCAATAAAGTAGGACAAAGGACAGGGATATGACATGCACCTGGAGTACCTCACGTGTTTAGAAATTTGAATTATACGTCTGTCATCGTATTTTAAAGTACGTTGAGTCTCGTGTGAAGGTCGAACAGATGAGTCAATTGATGAATACTGTGTAAGTTGATTTTGAAAATGAAGTGAGGTTAAAGTTCACACAACATTGTCGAAACTTTGTTCATCGACAAAAATCGCAAAATAATAAAAGGTTTTTATAAATGAATTAATTTATATTCTTGGCACTTATATTAAATATAATTTGCATTAAAAAGAAAACACACCCATGTTTTGGAAAGGTATCTCAAGGCAGGAAGTTAACAAGTTTTTCTTCTTAAAGTCATCAACAATAATGGTTAACTCCTATATCCTGACCTTCTTCCTCTACTCCTTACACTGAAAAATACCAACCTAGTTCCTTTCTCGAGATGCTTATCATCAAAAATAACGAGATACATTTAATTAATTCCTGTAAGCAACGTTACAATACAAACAATTCTCTAAAACTTTCATTTTTCTCGAAAGAAAATGCTTAATTTCTTCTTTAAAAAATTCTTTATAAACTAGTCACGTGTTATTTCTTAATATTAAAAATACAGCAAAAAACCTTAACCCCTGTAAAAGTATCTTCTCTGCAATATACCAAAAAATTAAAAATTCAAATTAATTTTTATTTTTACTTTAATTTTTTTTAATTAAAGTGTAATTATGAAAGATGCAATAAATTAATTCGTAAGTACCTTGTTAGAGCTTTCATTTAGCTAAACATTTTAATTATTGCGAAAGACAAGAAGTCGTCTCGACTTATTTAACCAATTATATCGTGTGTGACGAAAGACAGTTTCGTCCTTCGGTATAAGTCCTTTTCTTTCTACGTTATCAAAATGACTTGCAAACTATATACTAGTATATGCATTAACATTTAAAAGCTTCATAATTAATAACAGATTCGTGTGAATATTGTTAAAGACTTTACAAGATCATTCTTTTTTTCTTTTTAACTACTTAAATTTGATTTTACGCTTAAATTCTATATAAAAATTAATAAATTATTTAATTTGATATATAATTTTAAATTATTTAATAAATTTAAATGTTATAGTAATAAAATAAATTTATAAAATTGACTTTTTTAAATTAACTTACCCACAACTTTCGACCATTGAGCATTGGGTCTCCATTCAGGATACTGTTTAGGGAATTTCTCTCTTGACCATTCTGTATGAAAAATCATTTTATAAACTGCCAACTGGTCCTGTGGACACGATGCATCAATTGAATAAATGTATAGAAGAAGCAACGATACGGTTGCAAGAGGATTCATGTCTGAAACGTTATCAAGAATAACATTTACTAAACTCGAGATGGTTGCAAACCGCTTTTATATTCGTCTACTAAACGTCATAATCCACAAGGTAACACCCTTCGGCTGTCCCAAGAGGGCGCACGTGTCCCGGAGCTGGGTGATGAATTTCTTGACGTCATCGCACGTGACTACAAGTAGAGTAACGTCAGAGAAGGGTACTTCTCATTCGGGAACCTTTTACAAAGATATCGAATTACTACGATAGGATATAGAAGCATTGAGGATTATAGAAAAAGATTTGAAGGAAAAAAAAAAGTAAAAATAGGATTTACACACCTCCCAAACGAGTTAAAATTGCCTTAGGAATATCAAGTTCAATTCTAAAAAGAAAAAAAAAAAATCCTTTAAAGAATATAACACATAGTGACAATATTTCAAGCAACTAATTGATTACAACATTTACGTAGGTGTAACAGCATTACTTACTATTCAATAGATGTTAACTGGGATTAAAGTATTACAAATTTGGATAATTTATTAACAAAAATTTGTACATACTCTATGAGAAATTTGTAAGTGATACAGTTATTTTTTCTCTCAATTTTTTTCCTCTATTTTTTACGTGAAATCATATTATATATTATTATAATTTTTATAGAAAAATAATGAATAATTTTAAGAGAATTAAAAATAAATTCTTTTTTTTTATTAAAATAATTATTATAGATCGGGTCATGACCTAGTTTCTTCTTCAGAGTTCTAGACGTTTAGTAGACTGCATGGCGCTTTATAGAATTGCATGTAACTAGAGATTAATTTTTTACAAAGAGATCCGTCATGTGTAGTGGGTGTTTTCTTCTTTAATTTGTTCACTCGAACTGGAATTGAGCCAAGTATATACACTTTCTTTTAAGAGGGCTNTATATATTTATAAAATTATAAAATAAAAGAAATTAAACAAATTAACATCTATTTTAACGATTTAATACAAAATTATAATGATTTAAATACTAGAAAATACTTTAAAAACGGACTTTAAATTGAGCTTTACCCTTTACTTATGTGATAGGCAGTAAGTAATAGATATATAAGTATTGTATAAAAATTAATCACTAACATGTATCAGTATCATTAATGAAATGATGCATTAACCATATGGTTTTAAGCAACTTTTTTTTTTTTAATGCTATTCTCTAAATTCATCACGGTTGTTCTCACACTCACACATAGGAAAATAATGCGATTTGGGCCAAGGAGATATACAAGATTACCATGTGGATACCGAATTTAACAATGTGTATCGAAAGGATACTTAATTAAGATGCGTTTAACAGGTTTAAAAGTCAGTAACAGGCTCATCTGTGTCCTAAATTTAACTAAGTAAATGAATAACACATTTTCAAGTTACTCGAGAATGACTACCTGTAAGATGCTTATCAACGTAAACAAGTCTATTTTTCTGAAAAAATAAATAAAAAATAAGTTCAAAGTTCGCTTTAAAGTGACCTTTAAACTTTAATTATTTAATTTTAACCGTTAAAATTAAAGTTTTAGTGTATATATTAATTTATCTATTGATTTTTTTTATTTAGAGCATCGCATGTAGTAGGGGTATGTTTACATATTTCCATAAAAAGATCACAATGGAAAATAATTACATGTTACACCCCTATGTCAAGTGTACATTGATTAATCGAGAAGCCAATTATTTGCCTTGATGCGTAATCGTTACAAAATAAATACGGGGTAACGCCTTGTAACGTAACACCTATGTATAACTAGATTGATAAATCACCTCACGTGTTTAGAAATTTGAATTATACGTCTGTCATCGTATTTTAAAGTACGTTGAGTCTCGTGTGAAGGTCGAACAGATGAGTCAATTGATGAATACTGTGTAAGTTGATTTTGAAAATGAAGTGAGGTTAAAGTTCACACAACATTGTCGAAACTTTGTTCATCGACAAAAATCGCAAAATAATAAAAGGTTTTTATAAATGAATTAATTTATATTCTTGGCACTTATATTAAATATAATTTGCATTAAAAAGAAAACACACCCATGTTTTGGAAAGGTATCTCAAGGCAGGAAGTTAACAAGTTTTTCTTCTTAAAGTCATCAACAATAATGGTTAACTCCTATATCCTGACCTTCTTCCTCTACTCCTTACACTGAAAAATACCAACCTAGTTCCTTTCTCGAGATGCTTATCATCAAAAATAACGAGATACATTTAATTAATTCCTGTAAGCAACGTTACAATACAAACAATTCTCTAAAACTTTCGTTTTTCTCGAAAGAAAATGCTTAATTTCTTCTTTAAAAAATTCTTTATAAACTAGTCACGTGTTATTTCTTAATATTAAAAATACAGCAAAAAACCTTAACCCCTGTAAAAGTATCTTCTCTGCAATATACCAAAAAATTAAAAATTCAAATTAATTTTTATTTTTACTTTAATTTTTTTTAATTAAAGTGTAATTATGAAAGATGCAATAAATTAATTCGTAAGTACCTTGTTAGAGCTTTCATTTAGCTAAACATTTTAATTATTGCGAAAGACAAGAAGTCGTCTCGACTTATTTAACCAATTATATCGTGTGTGACGAAAGACAGTTTCGTCCTTCGGTATAAGTCCTTTTCTTTCTACGTTATCAAAATGACTTGCAAACTATATACTAGTATATGCATTAACATTTAAAAGCTTCATAATTAATAACAGATTCGTGTGAATATTGTTAAAGACTTTACAAGATCNTTTTTTTTTTTGGAATTATATGTAAAATCCTTTATTTATATGCGCTTTGTCTATTCAGTCGTTAAATTTGTTCGTCCGTCTGTTTGTCTGTGTGTAAATTATCTGCGAAATTAAAAGAACTAGACTAGTGAGATTGATTGAGATGGATGCACGCTGCTTTAAAATCAATATAAATCACTGTCTCGGAAATTTTTTATTGATTTTTTTAATAAGAAAATTATAGTTTCTTCTTTTTGTTTTTTTTTTATATTAGGCCTATAATATTTATTTTTAAATAATCTTGGATAAAAATATACCCAATACTGTAAGCTTTTCCAATAAATACAATACGTCAAACTCTTGCATTCATATAATATTACAAGCTCTTGTATAACAATAAACTATGTTCGTATATCAGAGTATACATAATACTACGAATTCTGTATATTCTTTTACAATAACTTGAATATGTAGAATACATTAAGCTGTTGTAAAAGTTATTATATAAAAATTCATACAATATTAGGAGCTATTCTAACCATCAATGATATACTGTACAGTACATAATATAGTAAGCTCTTGTATAAAAATACGCAAAAGATTGTATAAAAGACTATAAGCGTGTATAAGAATGTGTAGAAGACTGAAGCTCTTGTGTAACAATGTGTAAAAGACTGAAGCTCTTGTGTAACAATGTGTAAAAGACTATACATGTCTATATATACAAGAGCTCATGTACAGTACATAAAGGCAATATTTACAGTCTTTCACACATTGTTACATAAGAGCTTCAGTCTTTTACACATTGTTACACAAGAGCTTCAGTCTTTTACACATTGTTACACAAGAGCTTCAGTCTTTTACACATTGTTGCACAAGAGCTTCAGTCTTTTACACATTGTTACACAAGAGCTTCAGTCTTTTACACATTGTTACACAAGAGCTTCAGTCTGTTACACATTGTTGCACAAGAGCTTCAGTCTTTTACACATTGTTGCACAAGAGCTTCAGTCTTTTACACATTGTTGCACAAGAGCTTCAGTCTTTTACACATTGTTGCACAAGAGCTTCAGTCTTTTACACATTGTTGCACAAGAGCTTCAGTCTTTTACACATTGTTGCACAAGAGCTTCAGTCTTTTACACATTGTTGCACAAGAGCTTCAGTCTTTTACACATTGTTGCACAAGAGCTTCAGTCTTTTACACATTGTTGCACAAGAGCTTCAGTCTTTTACACATTGTTGCACAAGAGCTTCAGTCTTTTACACATTGTTACACAAGAGCTTCAGTCTGCAAATAATGTTGATAATGTTGCAAATGTAAATTTGCAACATTATCAGCATTATTTGCAACATTTCTACACACGAATCAGCAGTACAGCTTAATAATTTCTTATATAAAAACTAATATTTTCACTCTTCAAAAATAATAAAAAAATATATAAAATTTCATTTAATTTTCCCGATGATATCAGCGAAGGAAAACTTAAATAAAAAAGTAGAGAAGATATAAAACGTAGACATAACTCATTTAACGTGTTCTATAAATTTCATTTAATCGTAAGAAACATCAAAAAACAATTTAATCCAACTAATTAAATACATCAAAATGAATCAGTAAAGTCATAAATTAAATATTACAGCTAAGGAAAAAATTATATATTAAATTACTCGTAAGAGTGTGGGTGTGTATGTATGTATGTCTGATCATCCAATAACGCAATAAAATTCAATATACACATAAAAGTATACAAAGATAAGGAGATATTAAGGAGAATTTTGACCCCATTTAGAACACGTCTCGAACTCGACCAAATTGGCTTTTAAATCTCTTACAAAATACTTTTATACAACTTTAAAAAATAAAAAAAGATCGTATTACTTTGAAGGTGACAAAAACCGAATTGGTAATTTTTATACTGTGTCCTGATTTAAAATGTAGGCCTAGGTCTTTGTTGTTTCCTGACCTTTAATGCGATTAAATTGTCTTTTATTGGATTTCTGCTTTTTTTTAAGGATTCAATTTCGATTTTATGACGTTTTAATATGATAAATAATCATAAAAATTAATCTTTATTACTTTATTTATATATAAAATCAATGTTTAAAGCAGCAGGTATCGTTTATTTTAATGCCCTATTTTTATTATGATTTTTCTCTCCATACATTTGCATTTTTCTTTTATTTAATTCTATCTTTGAAAGTTTTATGTAGTTATGTATACAATTTAAAATTAAAATTAATATAATTATTTAATTACATGAATTATATAAGGAAATACTTAAATAATTAGGATCAGATAGGAAATCAGGATGATGATGATGATGATGATGAAGAAAGCATCATCCTAATAATGAATTGGAATTATATAAA